ATAACACATGAGGAGGACTGCTCTCATAAGACCAATAATTGGTTATACCTACAGATAGTGTGCCTCATGGAACCGTGTCGCTGCTGTGATTTCTTCCAAATGTGGAGAGCAATGCTACTGGTCAGAGGATGGCCAGAGCTTAGAAAAGCTGCCTTTTATGGAAAAAATGTTCAGCATCCCAAAAGGTCACCTTTCAAAGCTTTGATAATGGCTGCCTGAAACTGCTGTGCTTGTGAAATCGGGCAGGATCAAAGTATGGGAAAGTTGCTTTTTAATTCCGAGAGTTCTCGTTCAAAAGGTAATTTTTCCAAACATGGGGAGGATTACTTAATATGAAATGAATTCAGCCATAGGTGGTGGTGGTGGGGGGCAGGAGAGACAAGGTTCTTACTCCAGTCACAGAATGTTCTGGAGTCAGACTTCTTTAAACAAGGAATGAGAAACTTAGGACCTGGGCTGGAACGGGCCCTCCCGTGATCTCAAACTGGCCCTCTGAAGTTTGCCTAAGGGCAATATCCTCCTTCTGTGTTATTGGGTTGCTTTCTAGCGTTTGTCCACGCTTTCCCCCACCCTGATTCTCAAAGGATGAAATGCTCAGCTATTTGTAATAAGAGCCTGAAACTAAAATATGTTGTGACATGTGACTGCATCCTTTTGCCACGCACCCTGTGGTTAAGATCCCTCCCCACTTCGGATACAGAGCTTGGCCCTTGAGCTGAAAGGGGCTCCCAACCTTTAGACCCCTTGCTGTGGCTCCACTTCCAACCACTGAGAGATCTACAAGTAAACCCAGTCCTACATTGCGCCCAGGCCCCAGAATAAGGCATGCTTTGTTTCAAATGTCAATTCACGAAATATAGTCAGACATTTTCTCTTATCTAAGGTGGTTACAATGGTGGAAGACCCCCCCCCCCCCCGTTTCTCAAAGCATTTGGGCTGATTCATGGCAGCTAATTATTGGATTGCAAAGACAGAACTGAAGCTGGAAGGGAGAGGGAGAGGGAGGGAAGGAAGACAGTGACCCAGTGCTAATGGATCTCGGAAATAGCTCTAAGCTCTCCCTTCTTGTTAGTTTGACAATGAAATTTGGAACTAAGGAGGTTTCTTGGCTCCAAAATTAGCTGCCTCTCTCTCTCTCTCTCTCTCTCAGCATTTTCAAAAAGAAAAAGCAAAGAGACCAAAGGAAATTGCTAACATCCAGAGGTCAAAAATCAAGTCAGCTCACCAAATCACGAAATTGGGAGGGAAATCATCTGATTTCAAACTTTTGAAGAAAATTGACAACACAGTCATTTTCTTTGGCTGTCTTGTAAAACCTGACCTTTAAACTATCTTTTTTTTTTAAATAGGAAGCTTCCCCGCCCTTCTGACCGAGTCTCATAACTGCAGGAAAAGAAGATTTTTAAAAAACAAAGCCTTAGTAAGCTGAAATCCAGATATAGCAGCAGCATACAACTGGGTTGCTGGAAAGTGACTTCTCTACTTCCTCTTCAGAGCACCCCATCACCCAAATTCCCTGATAATAAGCCACTCCATATTGCACACAAGCACAACATTTCTAATACAGCCCCTGGATAGCTCAGTGGTTTAGGTTGGGAGTTTGATTCCCCGTCGTGCCTCCAGGGAGAAGAGCCAGCCTGAGTAGCCTTGGGCCAGCTGCACAGTCTCAAGGTTGCCCCTAGAGGAAGGGAAGGGTAAAGCACTTCTCTGAGTATTCTCTACCTGGAAAACCCAGAAAGGGGCAGTAGGGCTCCCCACGAGTCAGAATTGACTTAATGGCACATGATTATTATTAGAGATGAGCATGAACCAAAGGACGAACCAGTAAGAACTGCCAAATTGGCAGTTCGTGACCATCTCTAATTGTTATTAATAAAGGTAGAGCATCTCAGAGTCCACATGCCTCAAGGCTGAAACTAATGTCAACAAAGCAGGACAAAACACTTTGCTTTTGGGCTTTTCCTCCACCATCCCCAGTGGGCGATGTATTTTTGTCTTGTTTTGATCCTATTTGCTTCAGGGCAGGATCTGCCCACATAGACCTCAGTGGCACATGCATGTTTTCGTGAGTGTGTGTCACTTGATGTTGTTTCCTAACACACATGTCCCTGCTGGCTAGTGTCTACCTCTCCATGCCTTATTGCCCCTTTATCTTCTTTTTAGTTTTCTTGAGCTATCAGCTTTGCTCTTTTATTTTCTTTAATGTCATCACTTTTGCACCAAAATACAATGGTGAAAATGACAAATAAAAATTAAGCCAACAAATAAATAAATGATTTTTATGGGGGGGTGGAATGCTGGGTGATGTTAAAACAAGGAGGGAAAGTGAAGAGAGAGTGAACTAGGCAGGAAGACGGCAAGGGAAAATATCAGCCATTCTTGAGTTCCAGTTTTTGGTTTCTTTAAAATATTGCCACTTTTGCACCATAACACAAAACACGAAAACTAGAAATTGTTCAATAAAGTTAGAAAACACAATGGGGGAAAAATCCTGAAGGTTTGATCCTGCCTTCTATTTTTTTAAAAAGTGATATTACTTCTGCACCATACCACAAACGTGAGAAACAAAATAACACATATAAAATTAGAAAGGTTTGGGGTTGGAACAGTGGGTGGGAAAACCAAGGAGGGAAGAGCGGAGAGAGTTGCAAGAGGTAGAGAGAAGGGTAGAGAAAATATATCAGCTGCCCCTTGCACCTTGGTTATTTGTATTGTTTTGTGAGAACGGAAAACGAATTAATATTAGAAAGCACTGTGGCCAAAATATGAAGATTTGAGAATAGTAGGTGGGAAGAGAATGGAAGAGAAGGAAGGTGAAGTAGTTTGGGAGAGGACAGAGAAGGCAGGCAGAAGAGCAAGACAGAGTGAAACCCCAGGGAGCAATTCCGGATATATATACATATATGGACAGGTGGCACTGGGGGTGGTGGTGGAGGATCCCAATACATCCAGCAACAACCGGTGGGGAAAATCCCAACGTGGACCATTCTGTCCATGGAAGGCAAATCTTGGATCTAACTCAGAAACAGAGAGATCCAGACTAGTAAACAATGGTTGGGGGCTTCGTATTATAAGAGGTCTTCGCATACCAAAACCATCACAACTTATTCCAAGAAAAAACAAAAAAAAATTATTAGAATTGGGCTTTTTTTTTTTTTGATAAAGTGGTGCCCCACCCCAGACGTGAGCTAGTTTAAAGCATCAGATTGTCTTCATCCAGCTCTGAGCCTATGCCTATTTGTTCAAAGGGAACAGCCATTCATTCATTCATTCATCCGTTTGTTCGTTCATTCAGTATCCTGCTCCCATTAGTGTTGGAACACTACTCTGGCTGGTTACAATACATATAAACAAAAATAAAGGTAGAAACGTTAAAAGCAGCAACAATAACCCCTAAAAGCAGATGGCACTGACTAATCATATAAACCCAGAGCAGATGGAGAAAAGGGGGGAGGGAGAAGAAGAAGAGGGGGGGAAAGGTGTTGGGGGAGGGAGGTGGTCAGCTGGGGTCAGTGTGGAAAGCCTCCTGGAAAAGCAAGGTCTTTAATTGCTTCCTGAATGTCCACAGGGAGGGGGCTCAGCAGAGCTCCTCCGGAAACTGTTTCCATAACGTGGGAGCCACCGCAAATAAGGCCCTGCCTCTTGTAGAGGATTTCTGCGCCTCCCTTGAGGTGGCCACTCGGAGGAGTCCAGACTGGGATGATCTTGTGGGTCAAGCGGATGACATGAAGGAGAGACGCTCTGACAAGTAGCATAGGCTCAAAACGTGGAGGGTGATCTTGTGGGTCAGGCAGATGACATGAAGGAGAGACGCTCCGACAAGTAGCATAGGCTCAAAACGTGGAGGGCTTTCTATGTGAGTGTCGGAACCTTGGACCTGGTTTGGGACACCACGAGCCACCAAATAACACACTAAAAACATAAGCAAAAGCACATTCAAAGCAGTAATGTGTAACAATCCATGTAAGAAACCCCACTCAGGCAGTCTGTCACTGAGGGAAAGCCTGCCTGACGAGGACGGTCTTTGCCTGCTGGTGGAAGGACAGCAAAGATGGGGACAGGCTGGCCTCCAGTGGGAGGGAGTTCCAAAGGTCAGGTTGGAATAGATCACTTGGCTGGGTCTGATCTCCCTTAAGGTGACTCTTCCCTCCTAGTGGGGGGGAGTTCCAAAGGTCAGGTTGGAACAGATCACTTGGCTGGGCCTGATCTCCCTTAAGGTGACTCTTCCCTCCACAGCCTGGTTTTAAAAAAAAAGATCCCGCATGGGTGGGCTGATGCACGGAGAAATCCAGCTTGGTGGCTGAAATGGGGAAATGCTTAAAAAAAAGATTATAATTTGTTTTTCTTTTTAAAAATCGAGGGGTGTGTGTGTGGTTTTAGGGGGGAGTTGGACGACCCAGAGGAGGCCTCACGTCTTCCTGACCTCGAAGCTTTTCCATGAATCTTAGATGAGCATAGATGACTCGGGGAGGCACTCTGCACATGCCCAGAGGCTTCTCTCTCTCTCTCTCTCTCTCTCTCACACACACACACACACACACACAGACACACACACAGACACACACACACACACATTCTTCTCTCTCGCCCACCCCCGCGATGGATCGCTGGTGGTCTGGAGGTCCAGGACTCCTCCCGGGTTGGCGGGAGGGCAGCCCCGGGGCCCGAACCTGCTCCTCCTTGGGTCGCGGCGCTCGCCCCCCACCCCTTTTCTGGCAGGCCCGCCTTGGCAGGAGCGGAGGAGCTGCCGCGGGAGCCCCCCTGGGGGGCGTCTAATGGGCCGATTCCATTTCAGCGGAATGACGCCACTTGGGGATAATTTGGGAACTAGTACAGTATTAGCAAAATGTGACAAAAAGCATATTTTCTGATCCATGATACCATTTGGATCCTGCTTCACTTATAGCAATTCTGTCATGT